TTTCTCTGTGTTTATAATGCTGACCCACTTTCGAAGGTAAGAATGACTACAAAGCATGTTTGCTCTGTCAGCTGAGCATCCTTGGCTTGTGTCCTAAATGCAAGACAAACTGCTTTGAAGCATCTTTTCCTTCTAATGACTTTCTTTTCCTTGTCTTGTCTGCTGCTAATAAAGCTGTGTTTGTGCGTTTGTGAGTGTGTGTGTGTGTGTGTGTGTGTGTGTGTGTGTGTGTGTGTTCAAACGTGTATTTGACAGTGTCTGAAAGGGAAAGAGGAGACTGGTGTGTGGGTAGTTTGTGTGTGTTTCTATTATGCTCTTTGTCCAATATGAAACACAAATAACTAACTATTAACTCTATACTTTCTATTCTGGTTTTAGCAACTATACTGTTCAAAGATGGCAGACACATCAATAATTAAACTGTTTATAACGCCTCAGATTTGTGTGTAGGGTCGTACAAGCTAATACAGTAAAACACTTTTTTGTCATAACTCTGGAACGGTGTCAAAGCTGGTTGCTTGTGTACTTCCTGTTTCCGTTTACCAGCAGCTGTTGGACGTTCAATTGGACCTTTTTCACCATTTAATAGAATTATTCTTTGACAGGAGTTTTCAAACTGAACTCCCTTGCTTTACTAGCTAAACACTGCTAGTCAGCTACAGTATAGTGCCCTATTGCATCAGTCATTATCTCTGCTCTGATACAGTGCATTACTTTTCTTATTGAAAGAGTGTGAAGAATAGGCATTCTCTAGTCATGTTGTCACAGGAGAAAAGGACTGAAAAAAAACCAAAAAACAATCTGTGCTGTGGCCTGATATGACCGATGGGTCAAACACCTCAGCACTTACACGCAGCAGACCACCGTCCAAGAACCATACGTGTTCACGTGTAGATATGAGGCTGTTTGTATGCTATCTGTAAAGACACTTAGTCAAGGGAATCTTCTGAAGGTCTTATGAGATAATAGGTAAATGACCAAATGACTGCATTGATGTTCCACTGAACAAATCCCAGTAGAGTCATTGTCATTGTTTTCATTTTGAAAATATACGCCTTGTCGAGAGTTGGCATTATCACTGCAGTTACAGAATCTTATAAATTAGAGATAGAGGCTTACATTTACTTTGAATTCAGAAGCCATTATTAGCATAATGCTTGTATTGCGGCGGGGCCTCATTTCCTTCATTACACAGTTTGATCAGTGAAGTATGCCTCGTTCAGCATCTTGTTTTGTTCAACTTGTGATTAACCAAATAAACTGAAAACTTCTCTCTTTCTATATTTGTTTAGTACCAATTAGACCAGAGTCCTTCCTTTGGCTGAGTCGGTAGAGTCGGTCGTCTCACCTGAAAGGTTGGAGGTTCAATCCCCAGCTCCTGCAGCTACATATGCACTTAACCCTGAATTGCTCCCGTTGCTCCGACAGCGGCGTATGCATGTTTACATAGTATAATCTCTGCCATCAGTGTGTGAGTAGGTAGGTGTGACGTGCGTTGTAAACGTGCTTTGAGTAGTCAGACGACTAGAAAAGCGCTATACAAGCTCAAGTCCATTTTCCATTCACCATTCCTTTTTTTACCATAAATTTTAACTACCTGAAGTGAGTTGCGAAACTCCTTCATGACACATGAACTGTAGCTCCTGCCATTTTCTGTTATCTGCAAGCATATCAAAAATACAAATAGTCATAATATGAGATATATTGATGACTGATTAAAATGAATGTATTTTCTGCTGAGTTAGAACCTACATAATATACTATTTATTCACTTTTTTAATGCCAAAGGTACTGATTTCATTCCTTGACTAAAGGGGAAACAATCCACTATCATAGCCTTTAAAAAGTATCTTTGCTGCACCTTGTTATTCTTCTTCACCTCACCAGTAGAATAAATTCTCCTCTGAGAACCCAAAACATCTGTGATCCTCAGCAGCCATCTTGGTTGATCTCCAGCATAATACGGATGAAAACGTTTCCCATGCTGACAAAAAAAAAAAAGGTTTGTAATCTCTAACAGTCGAGCCAAAACCTGACAGTTTCACACTTTCTCCTCTCAAGTTTTACATTTATATCAGGATTTGTCACGGCTTTCAAGCCTGCTCCCCGATTTTGATCACAGGATTTAGTTCTCTGCATGAATAAAAGTGGAGAAAGGCAGCTGGATATGTGCACCCTTTGTGACAAGAAATCTATATAGGACACATCTGTTTGGGAAATCCTCTCAGATCTCTAATTGGGAGAGGACTTTGGATTCAGGGAAGTCACGACACCAAAACTCTGGAGTGAACTCTGGCTGGCTAGGTAGAAAAAAACGTCACTTTTGTTTCTTCATTTTCCTCAAGCTTGTGAACTTTAACTTAGACAGTCAGTACGAAAGGTTATTTGAAATCAATATGACCTATACTTCTATTATGTTGTTTTTGAGTTGGAGTGTTTCAGAGGAAATAATGGACAAAAACAACACTTTTTCTTGGAAATATAAATCAATCCTGCCTTAGGTTAACCAATTAATGCCCAAAGGAAGTGCTGTATTTCATCTTCATGCTGTTTCCTCCTTTCCTACATTTCCCAGAATGCCATTTGACAACCTCAGATAATGTGCTTTTGAGTACATCCAGCTGTTGACCCTATTCATCTTCTAGGAAGAGAAAACAACAATGACATTATTGAGAAAAAGAAGGAAAAAAAGCATCTTGCAGGGGAGGAAAAAATAATCTGAGCGACTGACTTACAACTTCAGAATGTACATTTATCTATCCGGAGCCCAATTGTATGTGCTGTTATTATTTGTGCAAAAGGAAAAGTACAAGAAGTAGTGTCACACAGAAAACAGGGAAAGAAATCTTGAGAATGCATAGAAAAATAAGATTTTTGGAACAAAACAGGAACCCCTGCAGCCATTTAACTGCATTGATACATTCTTTTTTCTTTTTTTCACGATTTGAGGTTGAACTCGTGCTTATTTTCATTCAGCTCTTTGAGCCACCAGATGTTTGCAGGACAAACTATCTCTCACCAATCACATGAAGAGAAAGCATGGAAACATGCATTAATTCACATCATCAGGAAAACAGCTAGCCTTGTCTTGAAAATACTTTTCCTGAATTTGTGATGTTTAAAACATTTTGCAAGAAAAAGTGCCAACTTAAAACATAAAAGTGCATGTTGACAGTGTAACTGACTGATATTTGTAGGGCAAAAATGAGCTGCTACCAAAATTGGTAAATTGTGTCAACCTTTAAAGTTTAAAGTCTGTGTTACAGTTTATTACTTGAATGAATGATGGAGGAAAAAAGAAAGAGAGAGCAAATCTGATAATATCTCAGAGTCTTCAGAAAAAAAGCCAAAGTAAACACTAGGTAGATCTGTTCACTTTGATTTTTAGCGCTAATATCTGTTTGTTTGGGTTTTCTTTTCTTTTATTCATGACATAACACAACTTGAGAAACAGTGACATAAAGGACAAAAAGAGAAAAAGACGAACATATTACAAGCATACAAATAGTGAATTTTATATTGTATTGGGATCATATTTTAGGGTACATATTAGTAGATAATGAGACAAAAATGTTTTAGGCCACAGAATGTAGCCATGAAAATATGATCCTTTTTTTAATATCTGTTTTTCGATCTTTTTCATATGAAGGTATACTGTTTGAAAAGTAGCATGTATGCTTTCACATTCTTGCTGAATCTCTTACTCTAACTGATTTAATTACAGTAAAGCTTGTTAATGCCAAAAACAGATTACACATTTGACCCTTTCTGCTGGCTGAGTTGGATTGTTTTTGCATGGTGTGTGATCATGCGTGAAGGTTGTTGTTTTGTTGTGAATAATTATATCTTCTCTTGGTATGATTATTGTTAAAAAAGAAAAAAAGAAAAAAAAACACTTAGTGGAAACTGTGCTTTGCAACGTGTCATTCAATTTGAATGTGTGCTGCTGCTGCCGAGGCTTGAGTTACCTTTGAATAACAGAAGAAGCAGCCTGAAGTTGCCAGCCGCGCGTATGTCTTGTCGATTCGGTCGGGGGCTTGTGTGGTAGGACGGATTAATCGCCCGCACAGCTTTTCTGTGAAACCATCAAAACGATGTCAGCTCAACTAGATAGAGATGGAGCGTCTGCACGGACAATCTGCTCGGTTGAATCATCCATCTTGAATGCACCACAATCTCCCGCACAATGCTCAGCAGGCATCATTCAGCTTCAAAAGAGAGAGTGATTTCGAAGGTTGTGCTGGCTGCCTCCTGGATCCAGGTGAAACAATAGCTTAAAGCAAGCTTCTGGTGAATTTGCACAGCTGGGGTCTCTCCAAACATAACTGTTTTCTTGGTTCATTGCCCTATTCATTATATTCAGCTCAAACGTGCAGTAAAGCTGTATTATGTCTCGTTTTTTTTCTCCCCCAACAGGATTATTCCAGTATGCTTCCAGTCATAGAGCACTATTAATGGAGTGGGAAATTATTCTGACACATGTATGACCAAAAAGACACACACCCACAGAAGATGTGGGCGAAATAAATATTTTTCAGGGTGATTTGGTTGCTGTGGCTTTGTCCATTTTTTTTGCCATCTTTCAGATTGATTTGAAGCCACTGAGACAGATCAGTCCTGCAGAATTTGACGCTGTAGACCATTTAAGGGTTGGTTCTTCCTCCATTTTCCTACTTGGAGCTCTTTTTTTTTGTTATCTGACGCAGCTGTAGGCTGCAGGAAAATAAACAATTTTTTAAAGATTTCCACTCCACAGAGAGAACAGTTTCTACCTTTGCTGAACATATAATTGATGTTTTGTGTTAAAAACTGAAGCTTACATCTAGTTGTCGGAGTTGTTTTGCGAAAGAAAAAAAAAAAAACATCAATCTCAACACTTCTTCCTTAATACAAGCTCACACATTGCAAAGAAATCTGTTTCAAGAATTCTTTCTTGAAAGTCATTTAATCAAACTGTGGGCTGAAAAAAATTAAACCCTTCCATTTGTGTCACCAGCAAGAGAATATTAAATTAGTTTATTTGAAATAGCATACACATAAATAAATAAAACATGATAATAAATACATATTACATATTAAGAGAACATAAATAAACCATAAGTTTAATCCATTTTTACATTGAATATGAATACATTCGTAAGACTTGTCCATGTGCTTTCTAGGCCTTCGTTTTCCTGATACTGTTGAAAAAGCACCTCACCAAGACAAAAAAAAAAAGCAATAATTGATTAACTTGATTGTGAAGTAGAAATCAAGTCCTTTTATGAATGAATGAATGAATGAATGAATGGCAAGTGGATCAGGGGGCAGGTTTTTCTGCTAAAGTCTTCCTCTCACTGGTTAGTTTTTCCTTCACCTTAAGACAGCTGAGGTTGAGACGCTTTGATCTTAGGCACTTTCTGAAACAATGAGGTTGTTGACCGATAAAAACAAATATTATTGTGAATAGCCTGTTGTCATGTAGCCCTACAAGCTGTAAATATGGTACATTAATAATTAAAGACTTCCGATTGATTGACATTTTGGAAAGTATGCTTATTGCATTCATACAGAGTCAGATTATAAGTTTGAAGCCAAAGCCAGTTGTTCATACAAATCCTAACACAAATAATACATTGTTGTGAGTCACCAAGATACACAGAAGTTCAATTGAAACCATTGACTATTTTCTGAGCATGATGATATCTGCTTCTGTCGACTTTTTGGGGCGACTGGTGTAGCTAGCGGTTAGTGATAGTCAGGGGTATTATAAGCAGTATTTGTATTAGGTAGACCTTTTCTAAAGGCTAATTGTGGTTCGATGATTTAATTCCGGGTGATTGTTTTGCCCCCAATTTGCTCTCCATATGCGTGTTTTCCTGCAAATAACCAATGTCTACTAAAACACCAGTGGACGATACTTCTCAGACTACAAACATAAACCAGATCACTCTGATACAAAAATCTATTCCTACGCCTACAAATCTGCATTTTTATGAAGAAGCTGTAAAGAGAGATTGACTTTACTGTAAAAACTGTGGAGGGGAGGCATGTCCAAGTTTAAGTTGCACAATGAAAACTCTATTAAAAGACTTAATTGAGATGTTTTTTAATTAAGTTTGGTAGGATGAAGCAACATGAAGAGCAGGGTCTGGTGACCTTTTTTTGGATTATCTTTCCAAATGGTCCACCATCGTAACAATAGTGAGTTGACCACCGTCATGGTAACAGTAAGCAGCATGTAGTTGATGTGAATAGACGTCACTTAACTGTGAACTGCAGGGGGCTTTGGAAGCCCGTTGATGACAATCGGCATTTTGGAAATGCTGTCTCACCCTAACTACAGTCCAAGAGCAGAAGCTGAGGTGGATCATAAGCCTCTTGACAAACAGCTACACCTTGCCTGCCCATCAATCAGGTCAACTACACGCATTCTTGTGAATAATGATTATCCTTCATAAGGTCTAAACGGATGAGTTATCACAATCTAATATTGGACTTTAGTGTTTGCAATGCATGCAGTTCCGAAGTCCCATTACTTTTACATCATTTGCTGCAAGTGGGCTGCCAAAGACGATCAGCTTAGCAAAAAGAATGTAAATGGTAGAAATGCCTAGCATAGGTCTGTCCAAAGGTGAAACATACGGCTATCAGTGCCTAATGTACAACGGTTGTAAATTCATGAAAAGTTCACAGAATTCAACCAGCAGAGACTCATAGTGCATTTCCCAAACTGTTGAACTACTACCGTATCTAATTAAAAATGGAACCTCAGAGCCTTTCAGATGGAAATATTTTTTGACTTGAGACCAAAAGTCACTCATAATTCTTCTGTGATTACATCAATTTAACAACATTCACAGTATTGCCCAGAAATAGTCAAAATGATTGAAAGAAATTGACCTAGTTCTAGAAATTTCACATGGTCATGATTTAAGAAGTCAAAGGGTTTGCAAGTTGTTTCAGGCAAAGAAGAATCATTTAAGAATTACCCAATAAATTAAAACATACTTTCAGAATTAAAAACATGTCATAGGCATCAAAGAACACATAAATACAGCAAGTGTTTCCTTTCACGAAGTAGCAATTACCTGATAACACATCATGGAAATAGTTATTCCCTTACATTTTAAGGCATACAGTATATTCATTGTACACAAGTCAACATTTTGAATATTGTAAACTGATAATAATAGATACAAATGGAGACTATCCTTTGCTGTCGTGTTGTGTAAATTCTATATAGACCTTCAGGTGAACAGATTAAAGTGTTACCCATGATCTGAACTCAAAGTCAACCTAGTCAGTCCTCCGCCTTCCGAGCTGAGACTTTACCAAATGTTAAGATAAGTTTCTCACCAATGAATGACGCTGAAGTAATAAAAAGTGAAGTGAAACATTAAAATGTGGCATGACATTGCAACTTAATTAAAACCACTCTTTCTGATCTTCCATTTGAACCACATTTCCAAGTGCACATGTTCATGGATAGCACTTTAAAACTGACTGAATGCCTGTTCAAAACACCATATTATGTATCACTGCAGTATGTGCAGGTTAAACTACTTAAAACCATTTGAATGTAACCCATTTTCAGTTGATTAGTCACCTCTTCAATAATCTACTCTCCAAAGTCAATTATTACAGAAAAAATATAAATACAGTATAAAAACATGAAGTCAGTTTTGATCTTATACAAACAGATTGACATTGTGTTTCACTGAGATATTCATTAAGAAAAACCAACAAACACCAAAGCAGATACCTGTGTGTACCTTCGCTGTACATATTCTCCTTAACCCATGTCAGCAAATCAGTAATATTTCCATTTTTCAGTTAATCATTTGAGGAAAAAAACAATTTCCAAAAGTATCCATGCTTTCTTTGCAGCCTCTGAAGTCCCTTTGTTGGTAAAAAGCTGCATCCTTTAAGCGTCTCTTGCCATCTTCATGCGTTAATGTACAAGTGTACTAAAGGTATTCTGGATATTTCCAGCTGTAAATCGAAGAGGTACAAGCTGATTTCCCATAGTCTCGGCTGTTTGAAGAGATGCAGGATTGATGCCATTTGGCGATCACAAAGTCTTAGATCCAGTTCACCTCCAGGGAAGGTAGGCGTTTTTATCGCACCTCCTGTCAACCTCATAACTAGATCAGTCAATATAGCTATGCAGCAGTGGCACGGACAGCTCTATTCTGCTGCGTTTAAAGTACTGTAAAATCTACAGGGTGGTGTAAATGTAGACAAAGATAATGACTACCAAGTTGAGGACAGTCCCAATGATGCCCAACATGGCCAAGATGCTCTCCTCCTTACTTTCCTTGTCTTGGATTCCCTTTTCCTCATCACTGTGTAGATTGTTTACCATTTTCCCAGGAAAAGTCTGCAGTTTCCGTCTCTGACCAGTCTGGAGCGAGCAGATAAGACAAGACAAGAAAAGAAAAACACAAACCATGTGTTAGTAACAAAAATGCATCAATTTCTTTGAAATGATTCTACAGAATCATTTACAATCTCTTCTGGTCCTGGCAACAGTGCTTAAGAAGGAAAAACAGGAGTCAGAGTAATCTTTAAAACTCTTTTTTAAAAGACACAAATATACACTTGTCAATGTCTGCAATTTTCCCATTTATACAATTGTGTTTGATATCTTTATGTATAAGTGCATTTCTCCTTTGTGTAGCATAATGACAGTAAATATCAATCTGAAATGTTTTCTTGATAAACAACAAACAAACAATAGCATGATAGACGTTGTTTGGACAGAGGATTGGGTAGAGGGGTTTGTTTAGCAGGCCATCACAGCGTGCCAAACAACACACACATAAGTCCTTTACAGATTGCCATTATGCAATAATTTAACAGAATGACTTAAGAGCCACACAAACCTGGGCATACAATCACACACACACACACACACACACACACACACACACACACACACACACACACACACACACACACACACACAGTTGCACAGTTGCTCAGTTGTTCTGCCCTGCTGGCTTCAATGTTGGAACAACCCAATAGTTCCGCCTCCATGTGTTACACACTGCAGAAGAGGCGTCAAAGGGGAGTACGGATCCTGCTGTAAACTGGCTATGTACTGTAAGGGCTTTAGATGCACGCAAACATTAGGAGATCTCAGAGTGTAAATGTGTGATGTACTACTCCTCTCTACATGTTTCACCTGTAAGCCTCTGTTAAGCTACAGTATGTTTAATTCAAGGATATGGGAAAGATTTTCCATCTAAAAGCAAATGATTTCATTCTGTGCCCTTCAATGAATCCCTTCTGAGCTTAAATGTAAAAAAGAAAAAAACAGAAGTTAGTGAACACACAAGATTTAGTTTCTGGTGTCGAACAGCTTAAATGTTGCAATTAATATACCTTAAGGAATAAAACACTGAAGATTTAAATCAATTTGCATCCACTGGGTTATATAGAAAGCAACACAGTAGACATAATTGGTTTGAAATGGATTTGCAGCTATTATGAAAAATCATGTTTTTGAACATGTATTTGGCTAACCTGAGTGTCTACCGACCCACAAAATGTGAAATAAATCCATCCAGTCCTTTATTTGTGATCTGCATAAGTCTTCCAACACCGTGGAAAATGCTCTGTTTCACATTTGCTCAACTTGTGATGTCACAAGCTGGATTCTGGTAAAAAAAAATACCCTCCCCTTCCCTGATATCTCCACCCATGGACTCCATCCCCAGCCTAGAGCAAAACATATGCGCAGGTCCGTAATTTTTATTCTCGCTAGCGAAGGAGTGGCTGAGGAAAACTTAGGAGGGGCTCATTGCATTTAAAGAGACACACACACCAAAATGGAGTGCTCTGCGAGAGCTGGTTTATACAGGGTCATAAACCTCTTCTGGTTCTTGTTTCATGTTATATTTTGACCAAAGCACAGCAAAGATGTTTCATTTAGACCACAGAGGACTGTTTGAAAAGGTGGAAAAGGGGTATAATATGTCTTCTTTAATTGAAGGACCAAGAATACTGTATTAACCATCCCGTTTTTATTGAAGTGCACAAAGAACAGTGATGTACTGTGGGTCAAAACCAAACTCACAATTTGCATTAATCTCAACTGGTTGATCTATCTTTACAACAACAAGTCTGGATTCTAGAGACTTGTGGATGGATGGATGGATAGATAGATAGATGTTGTTAACAGGATACCTGGATTTTTAATTAATCTTTTTAAAATTCCAAAGTGGAATTTAACTTACCATTTTATTATTTAAACTTTTATTTCAGTCTATAGTGAAAGTCTGGTTATAACATGACTGAATGGTGTAACTGTGTTAACAGTGAACTTCTAAAACCATATCTCAGCTCTTGATCGACAAGCTGGACATCAGACGAACAGTCTTGGCAGCCTTCTGAGGCTGATAAGTGGAAAAAAAAGAAATCCTGCACTAGCCTCTATCAGCTGAGGTATTTCTTCAACTCTGAGACTTTTCAGAAGTTTGTGTGCGTATTGATTTGTGTAGCCCAGGGTGGAGTATTAGAAACTATTGGTGTGGTTTTCAGCCTGTGGACACAGCAGCTTGTGTAAATTGGCATCCAAACACCTCTCAGGAGAAAATAGTTTGTTTTTGTTGTGGGTCAGTGGGTTCTGTACACCAAATGCTAACAGTAAAGGTTGTAAACTCATACAGACTAAAAATAAACCGTCTAACAGGGAGCTGCTCCTCTTCGTAAAGGCTTAGATACAAGATAAACTGCACATTTTTGCCTTCCAGCAAAAGTTTACAAAAAGAGGTTTCCTGAAGTGAAACCTGTATACAAAAAGTTCCTTTCAGGCTGATGTACTTTCTGAAAGAGAAGCTGAGTTGATACAACAGATACAATCTTTCACTTGGACCGTTGTTAAAAAGACAAACCAAAATAATTCCACTATTTATTTGCTCTTTAAGCCTGGCTCTTGCTTCAAAATAATCTGGCTCATTTGAGGTCCAGTTCCCCCTTCCCAAAGACTACAGGGTTTTCCCGACTTGAAGCTGTTCAGAATCTGCCCAGATTATTTTGTAGTCTGAGTGGTATACAGATCCAATGTTGATCCCCTAAATCTGATAAGGGTGCACCAGGGCTGTCCCGATTTATGTCAAACATGTTTGATATTTTGGATTTATAATCTTGTCGTTTACACCATAAAAGCTTCTGGTGCAATGCATGGGACAACTAAAACAACAGGAGACGAGGGAGGAGGGTTGAAGGAGTTCTGCCAAAATGGTGATTTTTAAAAACCTGTGCAGAAATTCGCCCCTTTCACTTACATATAGATAGTTTTCTGGGGACAGTTTGAATAAGGATATAGATCTTTGCAAAAAAAAATAACATGCAATAAAATGCTTACAGTTCATCAAAGTCCAGGTTTTAATTAATCACAGAGAGGGAAAATAGAGGAGATACATAGACTTAGTTTATGACAATTCAAATGTTATACCGAGAGTCAAACGAGGGAGAGTCTCAACACAGTTATAGAGCATCCACTGTCTATCTCTGGCTTTTGTGCTTTTCAATGAACTTTAAGTGAACATGAGAGGCTTTCATACCAAAGAAGTCAAAGACCTATTGTTCATGTGTGTTTATGAGCTTAAGTGCAGTGGTTGCCCTTTTTAAAAGACTAACATACCGCACACTAACTCTGAAAGATAGTCGAGTCCTTTGAGATGCATTGTTCTCTCGACGTACATAAAAACCTCATCAGGCTCTGTTTCTGCGTTCAAGTGCGCCCTCCTCCTCCGCTCCGTAACATGGGGCCTGATTGTCCTTCCTGTGGAGAATTACACACAGGGCTTCCCCCTACCTGAATGAAAACCTTTTGTGTGGTGCACTGGATGTGCCCTCATGCATGAAGACGCCTGCTCGCTGCTGATTTAAACAAGCAAGCAGTAAGCAAAAAATAATGTGGGGGGAAAAAGTGCCTGAGGAAGTAGAGGTGGATGGAGGAGGCAGAGGGGGAGCAGAGTACATTTACTTAGGTACTGTACTTAAAAACAAACTTGAATCACTTCTACTCGAATGCAATTCAGAGATATATATTATATGCTTTTAAATGTAACTATCTAACAGCCATCATTTACTGAACGTTTTAAGAAGTGATGAACTTCTTTTTACCTCCATCAATTGTTTCACATCCCCTAAATTTAATAGCGACTGTGTCGGTCCGGTAGGTAGTTGGACTACCAACTTTATACAGTATCAAAAAGTTAAGCCAAGGTTCAACTCAGCCAGCAACATCATAGAATGGTATTTAAATCAGGAGGTAAATTATACAAATAATTATGCAGATACTGTTACTGTATTTTTAATGCAGGACCTTTCCTAAAGATGGAATACATTTACAGTATATTATTGCACTTTCCTTATTTAAAGGATCTTGATATGTCTTTCGCCCCTGAGCAGGGATTTTGGTTAAAAAAAGTGCTGTTGTGGGAACATCGAGGTTCTGCCAAAATCAGAGCGCTGAGGAAACAGCTTAACCACTGAGTACAGCTGTGTGCTCGCAGAAGAAAAACCTCCTGGATGCCTTCCAGAGCATCCTCATCGGATGTCTCCCGTGTTCAACGGAGAGTGTTCTGTTTCAAGTGGCAGAACATGTAATCTTTCATAATTATTTACCAGCTATAATGACTCTCTCTGTCTGTTTAACACTCAGTGTGGGCAGTGTTTAATAGAGATCAGAGCTGTCATATTCCAGGACAATCTAGACAGGGAAGTCGATTAAATTTACCGTCACTGAAAGTGAAATTATTATAAATCCAGTGAAGATGCAGTCCTCAGTAACCACTTCTCCACCTCTTATTGATTAGTTGTTTGATTTTTCCATTCTAAGGTACAGAAGATTAACTTATCTCTGTATTGATTGCTGTTGTCACTCAAGAGCTAATTTTCAAAAGATTCCAACACGTTTAAGCCTTACATTTCCCCTCAGTGATTAATCATCTGCGTGTCTGTAGATGTTAGGGCCACTCAACATTTTAATATGATACATGTAGCATCGGCAGATCAACAACCTTTCATTCAAAATGAAACACCTGTCCTCAAGCTTTTTTCTTCTCTTACAAGCGAGCAACAGCCAGGAGTGTTTTTTTTGTATGAAAGAGTAGACAACGATAGAGAGAAAGAGAGAGAGAGTGAGAGAGAGAGAGAGAGAGAGAGAGAGTGAGAGAGTGAGAGAGAGAGAGAGAGAGAGTGAGAGAGAAAATTGGGATCGCCCTGTGCCATACCTGGGACAACAAATCACGACTCTTCCTCTACACCTAACAGAAGCTAACAACCTCGGATCAGATGGAGAGTGAAACCTCTTGCCACTTGAATAATCCTGAGCATGTCAAGTGATGATCCAGATGCTAACAGAGTTTGACAGGCACAGTCGCTTTTGGCATTGTTATTAAATGTTATTAAAGCAAACAGCTCTGTGTGTTTGTATGCAATTGCACATAAATGTTGACACCCATCACACACTGACATTGACACACACACACACACACACATTCACAGAATCATTCACAGTATGGTATGTAGAGAGATGAAAAGAGAATACAGGGAAAAGGGCTTTAACATCGTGATTTCTAGGTTTCAGTTTTTAGGGATCTGCGCCAATCGAAAGTGTGACCTATTTTTCATAACCTGTACTCATTGTTCTGTCAGCGAGAGGAAAGTAGCAGATCAGTTTTGGTTTGAACAAAAAATTGCAATTGTTGAGTTTTTGGTTTATTGATCAAAAAAAATACATGCCACATGAATGCAAAGTTCAAACATGCAGGAAGTTACCGATTATTGTCAGACTTTGAGTTTGAATTGGACAAAAAGACAAGTTGCGTATACTTGAAAAGCATTACTGTGGAAATATTGATTAATGTAACAAGTATTTTAAAAAGAAGGCTTGATTCAGTTTCTGTAACAGATATTTAAGCTTTAAGGCTCAGGAAAAGGAAAAGCTCTGTATTAAAAAATACAAAGAAATACAAAAAAGTTCAGTTTATTCAAACTGTACTCCAAGAATGATTAAAACTTGGCAACGACATGCGCGAGGGGAAAAAAAAAAACCCTGCCAGCATCATAATCTTAAAGTGAAGACAAAGGGGAGCATGGATAAATTGTAAGGCAACTTTCAGGGTGCCTTTACTGTCTTAAACAATGATGAACCTGAAATACCCGAACATTTATCATGAACGATTTGTGATGCATAAAAAATATCAAAGGTGTCATTGCATCTAAAATAGGTAAACGATTCAAGAAGTTTTTGTTGCTTAGATGATGATGAGATTAATGTTAAAAACTGGATGTGTCGTGACTAAAGCACTTTAAAAAAACCTACCTTGCAAAGCATCAGGAATAACATAGCATTGGGCATGCTGGAGGGGGATGCCTTTCCGTAGTGCACAGACATCCCTGGCAACTAAGGTGAAAGTAAACCCCTCTCATCCTTTGGCTGTGGAGGGGCACAGGATCCAGAGAGGGCTGGCTTGTCTTCCAGGCAGTCCAATTTCAGGGCTCTCAGTGGATATCGTACCCTGAAGCGCTCCAGCGTCTCTTCCCAGAATTTCATCTCACTAGTGGCCAACTTCTCTTTGTTTTCACTTTCTCCTCCTCAGCCCTGTGAGTGCTGAAACTGTGCTGCCCACCTCCTCTTTGCTCTTCCTCCTCTTTCTCTGTCTGTTTTGTTTGCCTCCCCGACACTGCTTCTCCACCTCCTCCTCCTCCTCCTCCTTCTTCTTCTTCTTCTTCTTCTTGTCTGTGGAAGAATGATGTCAAGTTGAAGAATGGAGTCAGTTGATAGGCAGATGGGGGTGTGAAAAGCTTTTCAAACGTACATTTCCATCCTCCTTTTGTCTTTTTTTTCCACAATGCTTAACAAGAAAGTAGAGATTTAAGTCTTGTCTTTCCTGAGGAGACACAAAAAACAACTCAGTGAAAGGCTTATCTCCTCTATTAAACTTGTACTTCTTTACTATTTTGGCTATAAAATATTTAAAACTGAAATAAATAAGGGGGGAAAAGGCACCCCTGCTTAAGTGGTGGAATCCCCTGCTTGCTCTACATGATGTTGCAACCTGACATACCTTTACATGCGCTCCAGTGCCTAAGCGTGTATCTCTAACTAGCTGTGCGGACTGCAAACGCTATGGCCATATATAGAGAGAGAGAGAGCATGAGGGAGAGAGAGAGCGAGAGAGAGAGAGAGAGAAAGAGAAATGGGAACTGTGAAGGTACCCGTCGCCTCACACACAGCATGCCGTGGTTGCTTTCACTCCACAGCCAAGAGGTATCCCCTTCTCTCTCTCTCCAGCGCATGTAAATGCAGCCATGGTTGCCTGGCAACCGACTCAGGGGAGTCACACTGAGCATGGCAACAAGAAGCTTTTGTGACAGGGGCCAGGATAAGGGGTCTTCTCTCATATGTTTATTTTTTGAGGATTTTGTGTGTGTGAAAAATGTGCCACTGACCAGCTGACAGTCAGCACAGGTGCTGTATGGAAGTGTGTTTCTGTGTTTGTGTTTGTGCACAGTATGTGAGCTCATGTCAAGTTGATGGGATGTGTGTCAGAGATGTGTCAGCTTGTATTCATTAAGAGAGTGTGTGTAGGTGTGTGTGCGTGCGTGCATTTATTTGTGTACGGGGGTACATTAAAAATGTTTGTGTTGTTTTTTATTTTATTTTATCTCACTTAATAATATTGTTTCATGCATGTCTGACCGCCCATTCTAGGATTGTCCTTTTCAGTAGCCTAACAATAAAAAGTCATGGACTCCACATGTAACAAAAACAAGAGTTTGTGTGTTCAAACTAGCTAGCCAGCTTTTTCTGTTCAGATGGTCCAAAAAATAACACCTTTACTGTAAGTAGAAAAAAAACATGGACCCCAAATATATCAAAACTTTGAATGTGACAACTTGCTCAACCTCGCGGGCACGTAGATAACGTAGCAGAGGAATTTGTGTCAAATAACAATTTAGATTGAATCGAGTTGTATTGAGTCTACTGCTTGTTTTGCTCTGACTTTTAAGAGCAGAGTTAGGCCGTTTTTACATACACAATTGTTTCTTACTGTGCAAATAGTGCCCAAAGATGAGGCAATTTGTCATTGGAAAGAAGAAGAGACCTGCTGTCAACAATTAATAGTAGCCTATAGCTGTCTAGTTAGTAGAGAGATAATATCTACTTTCAGATTCTACAAATCCAGAGTCTAAATAAATAACATTACTTTTGGTGTCAGAGGTTCTGTTTTCTGTTTGTAGTCTCCGTATAATTTTTTACCAAGGCTTTTACTTTATGCAGGAAAACAGTCTATGTGAATTTGCCAAAGAAACTGAATGAAGAAGGCAAAAGGATTTCCCAGAGCCCACGGTCTACCATCTGACAAAAATGTAGCTGTTTATGAATCCCTTGAATAAGATATCTGCATGGACGAGGAGCTCTTTCCAAATCTGCTCATGTCGTCTCTCAACTCCAACTCCATGATCACTTCTCAAGTTGCTATGAGGACTGTGAATATTGGCATCAGAATGAAAAGGAGGGTTTTGCTGGAATGCATGTCAAAGTCTTCAGGTACATTGCCTTTTGAGAGTTTCCATTGTTCAATCTCAGACATGACTTCATCCAAATATTGCTGTTCAGAAATGTAGTAATATTGTCTTAATATTAATGTTGCAGTATTTTAAATGATTTTTCAGACTTCCATCTTCACTGAGGCTGCACTGATGAAACAGAACTTTGCTAAAACAAAGGCAATTGTCCGCCCACATTTTCTCATAATATTGAACTTCCACATATTTGGCTCCACGACAAAGCACACATCAGTGCAATATATGGATGCACAAAGTAGCTATACTGCTTAAACTTGAGTAGGTCCTGGACATTGACTTTTGCAATCTGACAACAGGAGGAACCCTTACAGAGTCCTCCATTACATCCAGTCCTCTGCTTGTGATCCTGTTGCCTCGCTTCACCTCAGCCAGAGGGAAGGACACAGACACTCAGTGTTTGAACTCAAGCAGAAAGACTTGCCTTTCTGTCTTTGAAAAGAAGTGACTCACCCAGACTGTGCTAACCATACTCCTTTAGAGAGAGAAGCAGAGTCATTACTTGAATATGTAAAGGTTATTCATCAATTCACATGTTTGGCTGTGGCTTTCTGCAAGAGATACGTCTTTCCAGTAAAAAGGGAAGCATCCAGGCTGCATATTAATGAGTTTTGTTGTCTTGACTTCATGGAGCCACAAGTTGCTTGTGTTTTTATCACCATGGACAGAAGAGATGTTCTTCCTTCCCGGGTTTCTGTTAGTTTTTTCCACTTCAGTGATTCTTGAAGAAATTAGACATTTTAAAAAGTAGTCTGGTTTCATATTTGGATGCAGAGTAAACAACGGAGGGTTATATCTGTGTAATGCTGATAAAAACTTGGAATCTGGGGCTTCGAAATTAAATAAAACACTTTCCAAATGGACTTTTCTTTGAAAAATATTTCATTGTGTGGATGGGTTCGGCTACTAATGGAAATGTTTTGAATGTGAAACAGATGCCAACACATTAGTTTAGGCTTGATGTTGCTTTGCACATGAAATGACCTGGAATGGACAGCAATAAAAATGGAAATGTAAAGGAAACATTGCATCCAGACTGAGATCACCAGTGTGCATAATTTTATTGCTGACTTTCCATCCCTCTCCCTCAAGATTAACTAACCTGGACTGTCTCTGCCTGCACCAGCATTTATAACAATTAATCAAGGTGTCCATTGAATTTGTTCTTGTTCTCCCCACCAAAACAGTGTTTTCTCGACTGAATGTAGATCTTCCTTTTAGATCATCTTTTAGCCTATGTTTTGGTTGTAATGCATGCAGCTTTTTTGTTTTATTCTATTACAGTATCTTGAATCAATATTATCTGAAGCAGAAGTACACATTTTTTTTAATTTTACAACAAATAGCTCTGCTCATTTATTTATTTGAACAACACCAAACATAAAAAATATTACTAGCTGGTGGGTTATGCAGCAGCAAAAGAGCCATATATTTCTTGGTTGTAGAGGTCTTAATGAATATGACATAGGAGACATGGTTGGTTGGCTAAAACACATCCCACAATTATTTTAATTCTTCTCTTTCTGGTGGATATTTTGACTTTTTGCGAACTCATTAGCAACAACAACTTAAACAAATGCCTAAGGTGTAAGGTGTTTAGCTTAATGTGCTGTTCCCAGTAGGCAAATAATGAATTGAGGTTTAACCTTGTAAGCATGAATTGGTTTCAATGCTCTAACAGTAAAAAAAGAGGCCTATAAGTAAAATTGGACGAGGGTATTACAGAAATATTGTTCATGTGAAGTAAGCTTAAAAGAGCTGAGAGGGTGTTGGATTTCGCACTGTGAAGGCCTTGGGTGTACTTTAATTAATTTCACAGGGTAAGCTACTCTAGCACACTTTTCACGAGGTAAATCTAAGGACACAAAGGCCTTCTTGCAAATTGGGGTGAGAGAATCACACACACAAATCCCAGGTATTAGTATTTTGCTTGAGATTCAAGGGTAAAGCTAATGGAAACGGAGGGTTTTAGCAATCTAGATTAGTGGAGAAGTAATCGGCAATTAATGATCTTGCTTTTCTCCTTCACATCTGCTCCCTTTGTGTGTTTGCATTCACTCGTCCAAACTGTGCTTTCTAATTTGTCCTTCAGAGAACACAGCTCAATAATGCCACCTCATTAATTATTGAGAAGCCAGAAAGTTGTGCCTTACACTAACAAAGTTTATCACAAAAACACCGCGCTCAACACACTGGATGTCGGCCAACATCAAGGCCCTGAAGTTCTGTTGATTTCAGAAGGAACGTATGAAAAAAGTTTTGTCCGTAAAACCTTTTGAATTGGCATCAGGAACCTTGAAGAAACATCAAACACCGCCTGTTGGCCGGCCTTAAAAGAAAGCTGTCTAAATCTTCACAACACTTCGATCTTCACACTGCCTTTTTTGTTGTTGTAGGGATAAATAGACATGGTTGAAAGTTAAGTGAAGGCCATAGAGGGGTTGTGTGAGGCAGAGGAGTAAGACAGTATCATGGCTGTCATTAATCCTAATTAGTGAGGAACATGACAGCAGCATATGGGTGTCATCCAGTCAACGACTGCCAGACGACTGCTCTCCAAATCTTGTTCCAGTCAGTAATAAAAATGCCATGACAAGGGAAAAAAAAGATCAAACTTAACAAAACGTTTTCTTACTTGATTTTAGCAGAGTAAATGGATGGGGGCAGGGAAAAAACAATGTAAAAGCATTCCTGTTGATCCTAATGGGATCCTGGTAACCTTAAATTGCTGCTGTTGGTGGCCTAAAGAATGTAAAATACCCCAAAAATATTTAAGAATTATTCAAACAATTTGTATTGTGTTTGTGTGATGGTGTGTTCGTATGTGCTTTGTTGCTCAAGTAGCTTTAAGTCTAATAGAATGAAACAATAGAAATTGCATGACCTACAGAAAAAGAAAAATCCCTCAGAAATAGTCGTAGTAATGCTTTTAGGCCTGATTGCAGACTGCAGCGCGCCAACCTCCAACTTGGCTTCTTATTGGCATTTTTATTCAATTATCGAATTGTGGAGCTTTATAATCAAATAAGATACATTCATTCATTCATTCAGTGGAAATCAGATTTGACCCCAAGTTCAAGATTTTAGCTGTATTTTACATGTGGCTTGATATTGCACATAAAATGATACATTCCATTTCAAATGATGGATGGAAAATGAATCAGCGCTCATACTGAGATCAGGAATGTGATATTTCAAAATGAATGAAAAATTTATATTTGCAATGGAAGGCTACAGCAGACTTCATTTGTTCAGTTGTTCATTTCATTACATATTTAAATAATGTGCTGTTGTGACAGATGTGGTGTCTGAGTGGGAATGAAAGCTACTTGTTCAACATGTAATTCATTCTCGAGATAACCAGTCATGGCAATGTTTAGGGCAGCAACACTAAAAAAAAAAAAGAATGTCTTCAAGAGTCTGTCTGTCAGCTGTGATATAAGCTATAGCCTACATTAGCATGTCTTACACACACAAACTAGCATCTACCATAGTAACACA